TGAAATAAGTATAAACTTTCAAAGCGCCGTGCGTCGTCCCGTCACCGATACCGGGTAACAATTTCACCACTTCCCACACTCTTGCGGGCGGGCTGCATCATTATTCTACGCTTATATTCATATCACCGTGTTGGGAATTTCATTGCGAGTCCATTGATACCAAAATTAACGCTGTAGAGCAAGTGTGGAGGTGATTACAATCCCAAGAGTAAAAACATTTTGTTGCTGATGGGCGCTCACGGCGAGTCATCTACGTAGTTATTTATTTGGTGCTGGTATCCCTATATGTTTCGTGACTTATTTTACTAATGTTCTTCTAGAGAATTTTATTGCGAACACGTTGGTACCAAAATGAAATACGTAGCATGAGAACTAAGGTCAGAAGAGTAAAAAGAGTATACACATTTTTGTTTTTACGCTTAAGCGATAAAAACGCAGCACGCACATTCGGTTGGCTGAGTGACCTTTGCGGAGAGCGCGAAAGTGTTAATACTGTGGAGCATCTAGAAACCAAAATGTCAGGAGGGGGGGGGGGGGGGTAAAGGCCAAGCAATATGTACATTAAACATTTGTTTGGTTTGTATAACCTGCATGCCACCAATACAGTACTTTATCTGTATTTAACGGGATGCATGAAAATAATACACAGTGTACAACACAAGTATGGCCAGGGAACAGAAGCCTACAACCTACTGTTCTCACGGTTACTACACACACTCAAACCTAAAACTACATAAATAATGTTGCAAAAACAATATTGTGCGTTGTTTCAAAATCAAGCTCCGTTCCAGTACTACCGTTTCCTCCTGGTCTAGGGTCTTGACTTTCAATTGGGGTATTCAATATTTGGTTCCCAAGTAGGACAGAAATGGCTGGTATATGTTTCCTTTCACCTAATGCCTCTGTTCATCTGGCAGTAAGTATCTGGGATTTAGGCAATTGGTGATGGGTTGCATCCTGGGGATGATCAGTAGTCCACCTTGGAGGAGACCTCGGTATAAGTCTTAATGTATGTGTAATTAGAGGATGAGAGCTACACTTGTACTGTCCTGTCATCCCAGTATTCTGTCACAATGCTTTGAACCTATTGACAGTTTTGGCCTCAACCACCTTCTCACTTAATTTGTTCCAACCATCTACCACTTTGTTTGCAAAAGAAAACTATCCTAAAAATTTTTTTGGCACCTTTGTTTCCTTTTGAAGTTGCTGGCTTCAGGAATTTCTGTCAATTCCTGTTATTATTTTGTAAGCTTTATTTTATTTTATTTTATTTATACTGTATATACAAGAGTTCCTTTGTATGTAAAGAGTTTTACATTGTTCCTTTGAATGTAGTGTGTTTTACATTCTTGTAAAACCACTAGCATGCATAGGGTTTCTGGTAGGTCCTTAATCCTAATATTTTCCTTGGAATAGGACCCACCTAATCGTTTAACAATCAGGTACCCATTTACTGCTGGGGGAACTGCTTTGCTACAGTTAAGGATTGGCACCCAATCAATCCTCCCCGGACACGATACGAACTCAGGCCGAAGCACCGGGCAAGTGCTTTACCACTACGCAACGAGGACTGCAAGGTGGTGATTATATCACCTCTTTTCTATCTTTGGCATATTTAACATTTCTCTTAACTCTGTTTTTCAATTCCAGAGGCCATTTTGTAGCATGTCCAGTTTATTGATGTGCTTCTTGAGATATGGGCACCATACAACTGCTGCATTTTCTAATTTTGGCCTCACAGAAGTCGTGAACACTAGAACCTCAGTACTCAAACTCACCGGTAATTTGTTCCAGAAGGCCATTCGAATACCGATCTGTTAAGAGTACTGAATAATCTTTTCCCATAATACAGTAATGTGAAATTAATTTATTCCAGACCCCCAAAAATACACCAAATACAGTAAATGAGAATTTAATCTCACTTTACTTGTACTGAAGGCAGTTTATGCCATGTGGAAGGTGGTAAATTAGACGAGAGATGATGCTTGTTTATGCAAATCGGCAACAATTTCTCAGCCTCTTCAATTGGTTGAGAACTTTTGGTGAGGTTTCTGCTTTCACACCTTTGATAGCCTTTATTTTGCAATATCGTAGGTCTAGGTATACCAAACCTTGTAGCAAGAAGCGACATGCAAACACCACTTTCAGATTTTGCTACAGAGTTCTTATTTTCATCTCGTCGCAGTTGTAACATTTTCTTTTCATTTGGCTCTCATCATTAACCTTCTTAGGTGCCACGGTGACTTATTTAAGCTAAGGATATAAAAAATATCAAAGACAACCAGAGAAAGTTTAGTGGGGGTTGTGCACTGAATGACAGCTCTAAGTGTATGTGGATATACATGTGAAAATCATTGAGGCCATGGACCTACATTCAGTTGAATCCCAGACACGTGCCCTAACCGACTTTTCCATGATGGCTCAAAAGCCAACCAACCCCAAACTCTATTGAATTCACTCGAAAGTTCTGGGGGATTGGGTCCCAAACCAGATCTCAACCATGGTTTTAGTCTCCAGTGTGTGGTCGGTCAACTGTATAGACCATTTTTGGGCTCCGGTTTGGTGCCCCCCAGAACCTCCACGTGAATTCAAGAGTGTTTGAGGTTGGTTGCCTTCTGAACCATCGTGGCAAAATCAGTTAGGGCAGGTGTCGGATTTACCACAATGCAGGTCCATGGCCTCAAAATGATTTTCATATTTATATATCATACCATTGTGATTATATATCACACACTGTACATTATGTACACAAGTTTTGTGCCTGTCCCCTCCACCCCCACCCCAACAAACTATTACTCAAACCAGACGACATTGCAATTTCAGAGTGGTCGTGCACATGTACAAAATGTTTTACTACTAAATGACTTGCCACAGCCATAGCCTTTACATAGGCTATGTTTATAAAGCTTGCCACATTGTGCTGCCTTCAATTTAAAATAACTGTAGTGTATATGTACACTATTTGAGCAAACTATATTGCAGGTCTATTTACTCCAAAGAAAATTGCTTTTTACTTAACATATAGGCAAGTGGTAGCCTAGTGCTGTCAAGGGTAACAAATATGGGCACTATTGTACCTTAATGTTTTTTCAATCTGTCGAATGTGCAGGCCTATTCTTATCTACATGAAGTAATATCTCAAGTCTCCCCCTAGCCTCAGGCTACACTTTGAGCAGCAGCAAGTATGCTTCAACTCCTAATAAATGTTTAAATTATTCTGTACAGTATTAGACACAGGTATATTCTCAAATTAATATATTAACCCTTAGCTACTATGGAAATATAGTCATACCTGCCTATGTGCAAGCAAATAAATTTCCAAACAAAAAATTTAATTCAAGAATTATAAACTTGTATGCAAAAAATGTAATATTTTCAAATATTTTCTTTCATTTCATTGGGTGGAGATGGTTTCGAGTGGCTGTCAATACCTGGTGTCCGACTCTGCTGCCGCTCCCAGTGTTATCCTTAGATGTTTCACAGATTATCACTTATCTTTATTTAGAAGTGTGTAAACTGTGTGTAAAACTCTTGTAAACAGTTTTTAATTCAAACAGTATGGTGACTGGATTACTGAGAGCCTTTGAGAAGAAGGGCCATCATCTTCAATCTTTGGAGGTCCTCCCCTCCTAGCTATTTGTATCCATTTGAAATGTCCCCCCCCCCCCCCCATTCTGCCATAAATGTTATAACTGTGGCTTTAGGGTGCCTTCACATTACTAGGCTTGTTCACCACACTTCATACATACAAGTGTTCTTTTATGTTTCCTTGGCCCCATTTATAGTGCCAATGTCCACCTGCCTTCTTGTCTCATTTTCCCTAATTTCAAATCTTTTGTCCACCTTGTTTATTCCTTCACTCGAGTCATTACATTGCATAATCTTGAAAGTCAGTCTTCATGGCTTAGATTTCTTAATTTGTGCAATATTCTTATTTCAAGTAGGTGTTGTGCATTCTAGCTTAAGAGGTATACAAGTGCAGTGGTGTGGCCATGTATCAGTGTGTCCTGATGTGTGGAAGTGATAAGTTTAAAGGCATGTACATATTATTGACACGCATGTATGTGTCCTTGTGAATGCCATTGTTCATGTGTATATAAATGTTATTGGTACACATCAAAGTGTGCATGTTCACGAGTACAAATGCATCCGACATTGTATATTTATCCCTTTTTGTATATAAATTTTCCCCTTGAAATTTCAAGTTTATGAGCAAGAGCAGTGCAACCCGTCATACAGAAATGATAGATTATTATGAGTGGGTGCAACAGTCCATAATAGACTGTTGCTCAAAAATGCCCCCATTTTGTTGAGGGTATAACAAGGCAACCAACACATCCTATGCCTAGTATAAACCTATTCTGTACTAAATTAGGCCTACATTTGCCTATTTGGATATAGGACCAGTCAAGTTACGCTAACCAAAATTACAGCTGCACCTCCAAAATCCAGAAATTTGCTCTTATTTGGCTATTTATCACACTTTTTAACTTTCGTTCATTCATTTTTACATGGCACCTTTCATCTCTTTTTCCAGAATACCTGGAGAGAGGATTTTGAGAGTAGTTCTACTGAGAAACCAGCCTGGGGCCAGACTATTCATGGTACATAGAATAGTTTTAATTATACTCTTAGGCATTCACAGGGAACCAAACTTCTAATGTTGGGGGGGGGGGGTGATGCATACAAACACATGCATACAGGTATGTATATGCTTGTACACTTTCTAAATATGGAGGAAATCCTGCGACAAATTTCATCCATTGTCTAGATACATTACAGGGTAGTACAAATTTAGGTGGTGCCACTATATTACTGAAAAGAAATAGGGATGAAATTATACCAAAACTTGTATTGTTCTAACAAAATACATGCCACTATGCTTATTTTTCTGTACAGTTTGCTGCAGGTTCACTACTGATATTACCAAGTTGAATCCAAATACAAAATTTTACTGTTTAAAGTTATTCTTTCAAAAGAAATTGAAAGATTCTTTCCCCCCCCCCCTTTTTAATAGCCATAAAAAAGTTAGTAATTTAGTATAATGGGAATCTTCGTAAATCATCCCTACACACAAATAAAGGTACCATTGTTGTAAAGAGTAGAAACAGTAAAAGGGGGGGGGAGGATTTTGTCATCTAAATTTGTGCATTGGAGGCATGATAAATGTTTTATACAGTACAATGTACAGGTGAACTATACATTGTAAGCTATACTATATATATGTATATTAAATATACATACAAGACATGAAGTATACATTGTACAACCATAAACCAAGGGGGAAAAGTTTAACCACCTAAATACTGCACAGAAAAAATATAAAAATCAAATACCATATTTTAAAGAGCGAGGAAATTGTCAAAATTGTTACTATAATGAAATAATGAATTTGTTGTATTTTGTCGCATGATTTTGGTATTTTATCCATTACCATGTTTTAGAAAGTATCAAAATTCTTAGTGCTAGTAGGTAATCTATAATTTAATATACAATTTACAATTTATTAAAAATGGCAAGACATATAATTCACAAGATAATTAAATACTATGAAAACTACACAACCATATAAAATACCTGCACTAGCAAGAGTAGTACTCGCCAAGAGGCAGACCATACAGTCTTCGAGGAAAACTGAACACGCAAGTTCACTAGCAGTACCTTTGGAGTTTGTCTTGCAAGGTTTGTAACCAACACTGATTTAAAGTCTGCATTAAAATGAAGAGTGAATACAACCTTAAAACAAGACTTTCACTCAATTTTAATAATAAAGACATGGCCAATCAGTAACTTGCCAGAACTCTGCAAAAACTACATTTTCTACCTTGTCAATTATGTTTAATTCCTGTAATAACACTGGGTTTTCATTGGGAAAATTGATTTTAAATAAAATTACCAACAAAAATTGTTAGAACATCTATGCATACTAGTGATTAATTGCCGTTTAGATTGTGCAGAAAAATACAAAAATCTATACCCCCAATTTAAATATGTTCACCTATAATTATTTCCTAGTAAAAATAAAACTTTTTGCTAAGACAACATATTCAACTACTGAACTAGTTTTAAAGAAATGATTAGGGAGGTTCAATAAAATTAGAGTAGACATCTCATTCCAGGACTACATGACATTTTGTTACCAAACACTGGTTAAAACCTATAGTGTACAGAAATAAATTAGATAAATTATTTGTTATATAAATCAGCTACTAAAAAGGGTCACAGTCATCTGTGCCCAGGTTATATATATATATATGCTTTATACTTATCACATACACAAAATGTGCTTATTGTGCTTTTTTTATGCCACCAATTCTATCAGTTTAATACTGTTTATTTTACTTGGATGGAGCTATAGGTTAGTAGTAGTGACAGCAGATATTCCATGCACCATAACTGTAGGTCTGAGGCCATTAGTAATACTTGTCAGTAACTCAAGGTAACGAGGATAATGAGCTGGCATCTCTGGAGGGCGAGGCAGGTAGAGGAACGTCACAGCAGTGTCTACACTCTGTCCCGAGATAAGTCCATTGACACCATTGATATAAGCATCATTAAGGTGTGACAGGGAGTCTGCATCTGCCTCTGCTTCAGACTGAGAATCACTTGTATCCTGTCAATAAATATCATCCATTAATATAATACTGAATAGCATTTTATTTACATATTCTGTAGTTTTTCAAACATGCACTTTTCCAAAATTAAAATCATCTGTAAGACTAGTTTGCATATATACCCCCGTATATGCTTTTTTCCCCCCAATATGTGGAGGGGGGGGGGGGGATAGGACTACATTCCCAGTCATGGAAACATTGTATATTACATGGATACTTTACTCTATATTGTGTGAAGATTTGTGCATAAGTGGCAGAGAGAGCTGCACATTGAAATATGCAAATGTCACTCCTACTTCATGTCACTTCTCTTGATTCCTGTGCCACCTTCAGAGTGGTTTAATCTTTATCATCAATCGACAAATTATCCCAAAACTAATTCGAATCATACCAGGAATGGTCAAGGGTCACAGGTGCAAACACTGCAAACCTGATATGAGGGACTGGTCTTGCAAATAAAAATACTAAACTATTTGGAGGATATTGATCCAGACCACTTCATAAAAAGGCTAAATTTAACTCGTACAAAGAGCAGTTTTCAAGCTGAACAAGCCACAATGTAGGACAAAACGGATGCTTTTTCACCAATAGGGTTATAACCACAGAACTGCATAGCTGTAAATGCCAAAAACATTGCACCATTTCAAAATCAAGCCGAATAAAACAGGACAAATGGGAGGGACCCTTGACAATTTGGTGGCTTCCTATCTCCAGTGCCACTAGCGAGATGGTAGCCCTCACAAATTCAGACGAATAATAGTTACCAGGTATTGGTCGAACAATGTTAAAAGTGCAAAACCTGAATGCTTAAATGATATGGGAATTATGATTTCTTGGCATCTAAAGCCAAAACAATTAATGCATAAAAGTACATTATAAATCAAATAGGATATCGAGATTTATTTATTTCTACAAGTGTTAGCAATAAGATACCTAATATTCTTCTGCTAGGATTAACTTCTGTCATCCTTCTCTGTACAAGTCCAGTGAACTTATCAATTCTACAGTGGTGGCCAAAACAAATGCATTATCTAAATGGAGCCTAACAAGGACACCGTAAAGTTGAAAATCAGGAGTCTTATTACTAATGTTTCTACAAATCCCCTATCCAATTTGTTACATTTTAAACTTTTATACAATGATTTTTTAGCCGAGACTAACGGCAAATAAGATTTTGTTTAGCAATTTTATTTAGTCATAATTTTTGTATTTACTTAATTAAAATCTAATCCCTTCTATCAATATGCACATATTTCATATAGCTTTAAAGGATTGATGAATTCCGAGGGAATACAAGACAGCACACTAGAGCAGCTACGCATTGCATATCTAAATCCCATTAACGTGACAATGAGAAAAATCTGGAGCCATGAGGATCCAAACTCGCTCACTTTGTACTCCTAACAAAACACCTAAGACCACTACATCATAACATGGTTAAAGCAATGCAGCTTGGGATTCTATGGGGACAATGCGTGAAATCCTTATTGGGTTTCAGTTGAAGCCTCAGGATCCCTAGAGGATTCGGTGGAAATCCCAGGTTGCAGTGCTTTTACCATTTCGTGGTGTAGTGTCCAGGCCGTTTGTGCCCAAGCGAGCCGGTTTGAACCATTCTCCTGGCTCCCGACTTTCTCTTAAGCTACACGTTTATTAACAAAGCAGTTGCCAAATACTTCCACTGAGAAACCAATGCCTGTGACAAAACTGGACATCTCCAAATATCTCCAAGTACTGTACTTAGAAGTGAAATTATGAGGTGGAGGAAATTAAACCACACCAAGTGGAGAGATACAAAGTATTACAACATACATAAAAGGATTACTATTTGATTACATACGTGAGCAATATGAGTGGTGATATGGTCCCAAGGAACAGGAACAATGGTTGCATTAATGCGAAGCTCGTGTAACATGTGCTCAACTTGCTTCTTTTGGGCTTCTGGATCGGCATCTCTAGATGACACACACAGAAACACTCTTAACATAGTCCTTTTCCGCCATGATGATACCTGAAATGCAACCTTTCATTGTCTGGAGTTTCCAAGTACAATATGATAATGACCGATAATGTCTACAAGATAAAATAGTGACATTAAGCAATGAAAGCAAGGTATCTGAAGTGGAATTCTGATTAGTACAAGTTGTCTCATGTAGAATGAAATGCTATCTTACATATACTCAAAATGGGAATGTTTAGGTAAACCTAACATTTACACCCCACAACAGCAGTTAATCTGGAACCAAGCAGAAAAATAATTAAATTAGCAAGTTATAGTGCACTACTATTATAAAGTGTGTGGTAAAATGGGGAAGGTGGGGGAAGGGAACATTGTTAGAAGCATCTCCCAAAATTTCTTCCCACTAAAAAGACAAAAATGGGCTATGATCTGGGGCCTGCACTTGTCAGGCAACAGTCAAGGCGGGTTTATATATGGCAATGCGAAATATTACGAATATATGAAGAATAGTTCGGAATTGGCAAGTTTTTACACTTTGGTGCGCCACGTTTATGCAAGATGAATACAAATAAAGGCATTTATGTAATAAGAACAGAAATGAAAGAAAATGGGTGCTTACAACAGTAGGAACCACCCAGGGCTTTATAATACAGTGGCAGTCTTACTACAGTATTGCTCTCTAAACACGGCCAACTATTACCACTTAACTCTCAGTGCCTTCTTGCTGTGTAATGCTATCTGGAGGGGAAAGAAGCCTCTAGGATTTACAAAGTGCATATAGATGTGTACTGTGTACACAGGAAATATAAATCTTTGAAGTCTTACCATATTTAAGATTGTTGCCAGCTGCATCAAGAAGAGTGAGGTGGTGCCAAATATGTTAGATTCATCCGGATTTAAAAAGTCAACTGGCCAAACATCAATGTAAAACTTTTGTCGGTTGTCCTTTCTGCAAGGTAAACACTGTTTAGCCAAGTAGCATTGGGACTGTATATGTATAGTAAATAAATTGAAGGAAATAGAAAATTTGCCAATGATATAAACATCAGGATGGGAAATAAATTAAGGAAATTGCCACAAATGTGCCTCTTATGTTACAGCAACACATACCTTAGAATAGCAGCCTTGTCCATTTGATGGAAATGCCGACACAGGCAAACATTCTTGCCTAAATTGAGGACATCAGCAATCATTCCAACATACTCTTCTGCAGTAATAGTAGAATCTGAGGCAGGGGCATGTGCCAGCAGGGATGGAGATGCAGAGGTTGGTGATGTCGACTGGTAGTTGCCGACATTAAATGGAGAAGACTCCCTGCAATTATTCGTAGAGTGTTCATGTTTAACAGAAGTAACCTTGTTTTTTTAATTGTGTTACATGTAAGGTTATATGAAATGCCTAATTAGTTCAAAGTTGTGTAGACCTTCCAAGCACAAAAGGTCACTTCCTAAATATTTAATGTTATTTTTGGACAATTTTATTTGCTACTTTAAATCAACCACTTTCCATTATTAACACACTCAAACTAAGTTTTAAATTGTTTTTATAATTATGTTTCAACTCTACATAATGGTATACAATGATTCACATCACTTTATGCACAAACCAAGTAGAGGCAAACCATCACTTTACAATACTATAGCATTATTTATTACACACCAAGTATTATAAACTCTAGTGTAGAAAGATTAATATTCAAACCAAGTTCTCCACGTTATCAAAAATCAGCCTCTCTCTACCTGGATATTTTAACTCCACACAAGAACCCATCTAGATAATCACAGTCTGAACAAAGCCATTCAGGAATTCATTAGCCATAATTAAACATGCACATCAACATACAGCCTTTTATATATTTCTTCCAAGAGACATTGTCTAGGCATTGCACATTCTGCATCTAAATACCTAGCTTCTTACGAACCGTTCTCTTCCAGGTGCATTGATCCAGTATCGGCCCATTTTTTTGGAAGTAAAATTTCAGCAAATGCTTTGATTTTGTTAATAAATTTTAAACACATGGTCTAACATCTGTGGAAAAATCTTCAATAAATGATTAACAAGACATTCAAAATGGTCATCAGTTTTGATAACCCTCCATCCCTCTCATCCTTGTATATAAATACTCGTGTAAAAAATATTTTTATGCAACACAAAACTAATGATGGCGATTATCACTCTTTGCAATAGATGTTAATCTCAGTTCGTTAATCATTATGACCTCCAAGCATTCACCCGTTACTGTTGATCTGCACACTTTTCAGACATATTAACAATTCCATTCCAAGACAAAAACAGTAATTTAATAAATTAAATTATAAATAGCAACACCAGAATATAAATAGATAAATAACACCAGAATAATGTTTACAGCAACACAATTTAAAAGAAATCGACATGAAAATTCAAACGTCCGATTATTAGCAATTTATAGTAAAATCAGTAAAATAATACATCTGAAGGCTCTACAATTCAAAGAAAAAAATCTTTATATTAACTAAAGCTTTGTCATTAATGCCCAGTCCACAATTGTTCCCACACTATTCAAAATAAAGTGCATATAGTAGGATTTATGAAATCTCTCTGCTTACAAATTTGCTAAAGATAATTCTTCCCATCTCATATATAACCAATACTCTTGCTTGGGTGAGAATTCTGGTTAGGGCACTAAAATAAAATGTTCCTAATATAGCAGGCTGTTTACACTACTAGATCATGGGTGAAATTATTCAGGTTAATCACAGCAGTATGCACAAAACATAAATGACCCAGTCGTGCAAAACAATTTTTTTGGTCAAATACCCTTGCAGGCCATAGCACTTGCTACCTCAAGCATTGGGCAATGGTTTATAGTTAGACGAGTATAAGGACCATACAAATTATTTCAGTTATACTGTATTAGAAGACATTTACAAGCATCAGTATACAAAAAAAAAAAAAAATGCACAAACATTACGACAATTTGTTTCTACAACTATTTAAACAAATTAGTCGAACAAGTTCTTATTGTCAAGTCATGGGTCAACAAAGAATATTTAAAAGGGAAAAAATTAAAGAACACTAATGTAATCAGGTTACAAACAAATGAAACCATACAACAAGCTAGGAATAAATGATGTTTTTACCCCTGGAATGGCGACTCTCCAGACCCTGCCTCTATAGAGCCGTAGGAAAAGGTTGCTGGAATCTCGTATCTATTGCATCAAATGAAGAAAAGCAAGTGTCACAACAAAGAATATGTAAAGGGTAGGAAAATTAACCTCTGGTTAGCCATAAAAATGTTAAACTAAAATGTGCATTATGGCATCTCAAAATGGGATATGAATCTTCAGTAAATAATATAATTAAAACCACCAAGCAGTACTTCTTCAGTTTACCATGTGTTGGTTTGTAAGTCTTATTTACATACACATTCAAATGTTGACATGCTGACATGCATCTATATGAACATTTGTAAAAAAAAATATACATGTATAACTACACACGCATCCAAATGTATATATACAAAGCAACGAATTTCAGTAAGCTTCTGCTAATTTTATTATTTTAAGCAGTTTTAAGAAGTGGTTAGGAATAGCTTTTAAGTATAAACAATTTAAATCCATATTTATAAAAAATTAACCAATACAAAACTATTAAACCCAATTATAATACTGCTTAAATTATGCAACAATTCTTTGTTGCTGACCAAAATCTCCCACAAATATATTAGCCTTTAGATTTCTCCTTCAAAATTCCTTAATATTTTACTACCCGTTATAAGGCAGTTGTTGATCTTAATGGGAAGAAATCCCACAGGAAATTACATCCAACATTGGTGGATGGAGGAGTTTCCATTCCCTATGGCCATCTGTACAAACAATTACATTCACTCCCTCCTTGTAACCCCTTTCCCCCTCAACCTTCTCTTGCCATATCACATGCGTAGGAATGCAGCACAATTAGAAAGCAGAGCTAGATCTTGCTTCTCAGACAACTAGGCAAGAACTCTTAAGAGTTCCTTTCAGGTCCTCCTTTCCTCCATCTACCCATTAATTCACAAATTCACACAAGTTACTTTTTATACAAGTGTTCAAGATGTCCATATTGTCTACAAATCTTCCTCCAACTCTTGCAGTTTAGATTTTTACACACTACATCTCTCCACAAGATTTTCAGTTCTGTCGACAGTATTGCGAAAATATTTTTATCAGAGTCTAATTAGGGAATGTTAAGAAATGTTTCAAAGACCTTGCAGCATTACAGTCCTGGAGACTTGCAATCAACTCCAAACTTCTAACCTGTGTGGATGATGGGACAGTCCAAAGCCTAGTCTATTTGATTTACCAATACATTTGTATGTCATTTTATGATTACAGGTCCTTCAGAAACCTATGGTCGTTATAAGTCCTACATTGACCACCTGCTCTGAACCAATAATCACCAATAAAGCCAGACCTATAATCAGTTTAACAACTTTATAACAGGACATATCTAGATTATTACAATGTTAATAATGTATGAATAAAAGCAAGAAATACACCTATTAAAAGCAAGTCTAATGAATATGGAATAAATGCCTGCAAGACAAAACATTTTCTGAAACTGCCTAGTGTTCAAAATGCAAGATAAACAATGACTGCCTTAATATTTTTTTTTTTTTTGAGATATATACAAGAGTTGTTACATTCTAGTAACTACTTCTAGTAACTAGTAACATTCTAATAACATTCCAGCCACATTCTTCTACAGCCACTAGTACGCATAGCGTTTCGGGCAGGTCCCTGGAATACGATCCCCGCCGCGAAGAATCGTTTTTTTCATCCAAGTACACATTTTACTGTTGCGTTAAACAGAGGCTACAGTTAAGGAATTGCGCCCAGTAAATCCTCCCCGGCCAGGATACGAACCCATGACATAGCGCTCGCGGAACGCCAGGCGAGTGTCTTACCACTACACCATGGAGACTGTAGACAAACAGACTTCTTATAACAAACACAGATTGGTTATTTGTGCTCTCTACTTGTATAGGGAATGCTTTCCTTAAACTCAAATCAAAGGTATACTGTATGGACAAAGTAGGTAGTTCCTAAGGCCTTCAAAAATATACTACAGTACATTCCACTCTTAATTCTAACGAAAAATCTATTTTGGCAACGATATTCAAGGTGTCCTCCAGCATACAGCCGTAAACTAAATAAAGTTTAGACTGCCTGGCATGTACAATGATACACATGTGCAACTTTACAAACATTTGATACAGGAATATTATGTGTGAAAGCCCGAGACACTGCCAAGAAAACTGACACTAGGATTATTGCAGAAAACCTACATTAATTCTATATTAATTATTATTCAACTTTTCCAAACTTCAGTTACACACATTTTGAAACTTGGTATAAATGTGCTAACTAGCATAAACCCTGAATCTTCATAATTCGATACTACACAAAACATTAGCCATATGTATAGAAATGTATATCAGGATAGAGGGGGGGGGGGGGGGGGGGGGGGGGGGGGGGGGGGGGGGGGGGATATAAAAAAATATATTCAGAGGGAAACTAAAGCACCCCTACCAAGGACATCAAATATAGGAAAGAATTACATGCTACACATTAAACAATTATTTGACAAATTATCAAAATACAGACAAAACAACTATACTGTAGAGTAAAATTTAAAATTAGTCACTGGAGGTTACAAGGATTAAATCTAAAGTCCCAAAGAATTCACACAAATTTGCAAGGGAATATCTTGGTATCCTTTCAAATAAATGTTTGTTTTATATGTACAGTACTAGTTTAGAGTTTATGCCATTAGAGAAAAATAAAGTAATTAAGAGTTCGTAGTAGATCCTAAAGCTTAGTTCTGGTGTCACCAAGCTTTGCCCTAACACACCACTCCGAGATCCACCTGTAACCTATCGGAAGCAAAGACGAGTACTGTATCTCTAGCTAAGGGAATTGGATATCTACCATAAACTGGAGAAAACCCACCAATTCTTACTAGTGGGTTTTCACCAGTTCTGTGGTTGACCGATCTCTGATCCTCCCAGCAGAGTTGGCCTGATTCTGGTATTGGGTCTCCGATGCCCAGCATGCTGGCAAAGGCTTTGTGGCACTGGAGCTAAACTTGGAAGCACAAAAGGCCAAGGTAAAAATGCTCCGATATTAATTCGGATGCATGCAACTTTATATTAGAATTATATACCTTTATACACGTGTACTTTTCAAATGCTGTTCAGATATTCAATTATTTTAGATTTTACATTCCTATGGAAAACTAAATTCCATTTTATCCTACCAAGTAAATTTTTTTAACTTGTACTTTTAACCTGTCTAATTATGAAAGGTTAAAAGTATCCCCCCCACCCACCTTTCCTCTATAAATTTTCCCCCACCACACTACATAAAATCTACTACACAAACTGATTCAACAGACTGCACTACTAGAAACTCTAAGACCCTTTCCCCCCCCCCCAAACATCAGCATGGGAAACTGAAAAATGCATATTGGCTCTTACAAAGCTAGTCACGAGATTCCATGATTATTTTAACATCATTCGTTTCCCCATATGTATTTTCCAAGCATATCATTAATCTAAACTGCTAAAGTGTGTATAAACACAATTTGTGTATAAACAAAGCAGTGTGTATAAACTGCTAATAGTGTGTATAAACACAATTTACACACACTATTCAGAGTTTGTAATCCAACCCCTTTTGGCCCTGTAGCCCCGCCCCCTCTATCTTCCAAATCTAGCCCCCCCCCTCCCCCAACCTTCCCAGCTCTCAAACAACATTAAAAAAACTAATTTACTTGTAGGTAGTGTTGAGAAATGACATGCATTTCCCTATGTTACCTTAGACGATTTCAAGGTATAGAAATGGGTTAATAGCTTGGACTTTCTGGCAAAGGTTTCACAGGAATTCACACTACATAATTCCACATGCTGTTACAGCAGCCACACAGGGAAAAGTTGGTTTCTATGAATGCAGATTTACTAATATTAAAAATATTTAATAAACTCACACATCTGACTCTGGCGACAGCAGGATCAACCTGGACAAGTATTTAAATACATATTACTCCACATCATCTATGCATAAATATGATATACATATATTTTTAAAACTAAACGACCATTACTGTACATATTTAAGCCATTTCAAATGTTATCCAAGAGTAAATACAAGAAATATAGCAGGATGCTGATCTGTCCTAAATGAAACAGGTGTCAGGATTTACACACTAATCTTCTATAACCTAGATTTATTATCTAGCGCATTTTTCACCGAAATGGTAAACTACCAGATTACGAGACCGTCCTACGATGAACACACCAATTGTCGATAGAAGGCTGTATGGTTATTTTGACTGTTTTAAACCAGATTTATACCATCAGCAGCACTAAAAACACCTCTGCTACTTTCTGCATTTTTGTGGGGTACGAGAGGCAATATTATCAAGGAAAGAAGGAAATACTTTCTACATTTGAAGAGGAAAACCAACATTCACACTTTCGTAGCTTCACAGTAAACTAGCAACACCACATTACCATTTCATTCACACATTTCTGCTATTTCACAAGTCAACAAAATTTTCAGATAAATTGCTTAATCTGGCAAATTATCTAAAGATAGTTAATGTGCTTTGTCAGTTAAAAGTCAAGAATGCACATTAAATTAAGAATTTGTTCAATAGTCAGGATAAACCCTCATGTGGAAAGGTAACAGATGCACAAGGAAAAATACTGAAAAAATGTAGAATCACGATATATAGCTGCAATAAGAATAGTTACATTGTGTATAAAGAAATCATTACATTCACATTTCAAGACTACACATTTTCCCCTTTCACAAATTAATTTGCCATTTGCTTGTCGATATTTCCGACATTACCGTTTTGATCTTGGGTATATGAAAATGTACGCGCATCTCCAATGCCGTGTTCCCTAGGCGCCCCTCCAAAGGGGTATTTCCCATTCGAGTCAAAGAATGATTTGCCAGACATGGGTCATTGATGTCATACTTAAAATCTACAATAAAAATTAATAATTTAAACCCATGCTCCAGATACAAACAAATTTCACACAAAGTCGAGGCAGCCTCCCTCTTCCACATACAGCAGACAAGTTCTGCAGTGGATTTTACGACTGCCACTTTTACACTGAACATTACGAACAAATAATTTTTGTTCAAGTTAATTCTAGGTTTAAATATTTAAAATAATGAAGCCCTCTTGCTGGAACACATACAATCCTCCCCCCCCCCCCCACATTTGAAACCAAATTCCACAATTCGTTTTCATTGAGATTATCCGGTTTTCTTTCACAAACATGAGCTTCTTGGAGCCATCTCTGGTTACATCAAATTGGGGTTGGTCTCATAGTTCACCGAATCAAGGTTTCACTGTACTGTATATTGGTTAGTTAACTAGCATCCTCATTCAGCACCAGGAACAGAACAAGCACCATCTTCGTGTTGAATTTTATCAAGGTGGCACCATCAGGAAGTTCTTTGGCTGTCTAGCCAGACAGAAAACTCTGCAGGTAGGTAGACCTATAACAATAATCCCATATATCTCTGGTCACGTTTGCCATGCTGAATCTTTTATACATTTTTTTCTTCATAGAGTAGGCAGTGGTATAGTATATTCAACCTAACACGAAGTATTTTATAGTCATGCTGCAGATTGGGATATTAGTTTAATTTGCACCATTATGCCCAATGAAGTTCATTTATCATTAACAAGATTCTCGCTTCATCCAAGTGGCACAGAATAAGCACGCTGCTTAACCAAGGAATAAAAAGCATACCATTATACAAATTTAAAATCATACCATAACCATTAATAACAGTCTAGTAATTCTAAAAATTATCTTTTGTAATCACTCATCTGGGTGACTGCACTATGCCACTACATACATAAAAAAAAATAGCAAGATAATTCAGGACAAAACTTTTAAACTTGCACTCTATGGATGCTAACGAACTGGCTGATAAATTACAAATCAAATTTCCTTACCTAGTGAAGAAATCTTGGGAAGGGGCATTGTCTCTGAAGCCAAAGAGTATTGTATTGGGCTTCATGGCTCCTAGTCCAGAAACACGAACTAAATGGCGCAAACCTTCACGTACAGTGTGGCCGACAGTAACTTCGACAAATGCCTTAACCTGAAAACAAGGTAACAAAATAAGATTTACATAATTTAAATAACTTAATCACTTTGATTACCCTCGAGCAGTAAAAAATTATATTCCTTTGCCTGGCATATGGGTATGAACAGGTCAGTTAAACCAGTACAGAGGGTGACTACATACACAGCAAGCACAAGCTAATGTAAAAACTCGAGGCTTCCCCCATCAGCGATAGACTAATATTGGAAGGGGTGTGGTTAAGGTTTGTAGCGTTAAGAGGCTGTGGTGAAGGTAAGGGGAGGGAGCACGTAAACCTTGCTAAGCTATACCTACACTGTGCTCTAAAAAATAAACAACAACTTTTGAGGAATTTCAAGATGGATGACCTGATTTAAATGCAAACAATGTTAAAGTGTTGAATTTCAAATTGCACTTTCAATTCTATGACAATCACATGACAGTGCAAGATGCAATTCATAATTACAATCACTTGAAATACGGATATACTGTACTGTGCCAGAACAAAGCACATAGAAAGTATACATTGATTAATGGATAAAGTCTGTTTACCCAAGTTTATCTGAATTTACCTGAAGGCCATTATCTCTAGAGGCCTCGCTTCGATTAGAACAGGAAGGCAGTGGCTTGTCAAAAGATATCTTCCCCCCCCCCCCCCCCAAACCTTCCATTTGTCCTAATTATGGAACTACATACAGTCAATTATGTAGCAAAAATTCTGTATTTATATCTAACCACACAAATTCCCACTTTCCCCTTGAATTAGCATCTTTCAATGTATTCCAACTGTAAATATGATATAAACTGCACCTTCAAATGATCCACAAGTGCCATCCATTTAGGGTAATCCTCGGCAGCTGGATCTTTCTTCATCTCGTTACAATCAGCAACCTGAAAATGGTAAACACAGTATTAACAAGTCATCACATGCACATTATCTTTTAAGTGGTTTATTAAAAAATAAACAAAATAATTAGGCTCTGTACATTAAATCTAGTTGTCAATAAATTTAATTTATAGTTCCTGCATTAGAAGAAACGGCAAATTTGAAGCATTAGTAACAAGCAACATTTAGTAAATAGGCCTATGGTTTTGTTTTTCCTGAACTTTACTTTAAGCCCTACTGCAGTAATGAAATCATTTACCAAATTATTAAATTTACCAATTAGGCTAAAGCCAGCAGCTGTAGACCAATTGTAGCTTTTTTCCCCCACCTCTAAACAGATATTGCACAGATCCAAGATACTCTAGTAGACTGCTGCACACGACAACAGAATCCAAGAAAACCACATTAATATTTCTAGACAAGGCCAAATACTACCTTCACAGTCCAGGAATCCCTCTTCCAAGCTCAATGGCACTTGAAGTTATCCCTACATCCCAGGGGCACTAGGCCTTACCAGAATAGGGAATCTACACAAGATGAACATTGATCTCCGACTGAAGAGGGCACAGGAAAATAGCACAAACTCGCTTTCACAGAAATTGACCTTTACATAACCTTATTTCCTCCAAGATGAACAGACCCAATGCAGAAAAGTGAGGAAAGTCAATCACATACTGCTCAGGAAGTTACATCTGACATTTATACACCTTCAAGAACCATCTCTCCAGCCTGGTAACTTAAACCCCACTTTGCCTCTTAACAAATCCAAAACACCAGGCCAGTAGCACATGCGATTTGGGGCACCACAGAGCCCACCCATCTGGCTAAACAGGACCAATCTACCAATGGAGGCAAGATTTTTGTTAATTTTTTTTTTTGTTAAGTACTGTAATATCAGCTTTAAAAGCTTGTATGAAAGCTAATAAAAAAAAAAAGTTTGAAAAAGCTGAATTTTTGTTATATATAACAGCGCATCATGATACATAGGATGCAATCAATGGATATGGGTGGGGAAGTAAGCCGAGGAAGAAAGGGTAAACTAGGATAAGTATGGGGTAGGATTACTTCATTATCACCATGATGCTAAAATTGGCTGGTAAGTTGGGGGGAAGGGGGGAAAGCGTGAGGAAAATGAAAAAGTGGGAAAAAAGAAGTGCAGGGCAAGTAAAAAAAACAACCAACGACAAACAGGCACCACATTTTATGCAAATTATACTTTGTACATGCCAGACAGATGTTTGCCACCAAAATAATTTTCAACAGGTAAAGATGAAAAACCTCACAAATAGTATTATGGTGAAGCTATATTTGTGACCCCAAGTGGTAAATCGACATGGTGTCAATTGGCATAGTGTCACTAGGAGAGTCGACAGGTTTTGGGCACGATACAAAATGCAGAATAAAATACTAGGCAGCAGCGGCAGCAAATAGTATGAGAAACTATCATGGAAGCAACACTACACTTACCAAACCTTGTCGATATGAGGTAAACGAGTAGCATGTTCAAGGGGCCTAGTTAGTACCTGGTGCAAAATAAACATGATATAGTACTGTAGAGTGGAGAGCTGGGAATAAATAAAAAAAATGAACATCAGATGTGACAGTGAAGGTACAGAGCCAAGCCAAAAGGGACCCTACTAGAATAATGAGGACAATAAAGATGGAGTGGAAGAGAAGCCACAAATCTATTTGTATAATAACAATGGACAAGACAGTAACTAGGGGGGGGGGGGGGCATCACTTCTAAGGCTCTTAAGCCATCTTATTTTCTTGGCTATTACCAAATTTGTTGACCAGACCACATACTAGAAGGTGAAGGGACGACGACGTTTCGGTCCGTCCTGGACCATTTTCAATCGACTCGAGAATCGTCCAGGATGGACCGAAACGTCGTTGGCCCTTCACCTTCTAGTGTGTGCAGGCGATGAGTCACAATAACGTGGCTGAAGTATGTTGACCAGACCACACACTAGAAATTGAAGGGACGACGACGTTTCGGTCCGTCCTGGACCATTCTCAAGTCGATTGTGTGTGGTCTGGTCAACATTCTTCAGCCACGTTATTGCGACTCATCGCCTGCATTACCAAATTTGCTTTATGTTCATTAAACATTAAAGCATCCAGCATCATTATTTGCAGATCCTTTATATGTTTTCATTTCTATGAAGAGATTAGAGTATCATCTGTTATTCAGTTTGAATTCCAATCTGTTTTCCATATTCAAGAAGTTGCAATTTTCAGATTGGAAGAAAAAAAAAAAATAATTATCCAATGCCCAGTAGAAAACACATATTTTATCAGGGTCTTCCACTTAACCAATTCTCATGCTAATTTTGGCATCTGCAAAGGATAACAAAACTGGTTTGTATTTTTGATTGTCTAGTCCGAGGCAAGTACCTTGATGGACAACATTTTACTGCTCAAGACATTTTGTTTCAAGTTATAGCAAGCCATGTCAAAATTTAATAGCCATTTAGCTACTTTGTCAATTTTTTTACTTTGGACCACATCACTCCAGGGTCATATTTACCCAAGTTTTCACAATATCTGTGCACAGTATTGGCCTTCTCATTGTTTCCATGATTTTGTTACAGTAGTTTAGTAATTGCAAAAGGTAGGATCTTTCTATTTTAAGTACATTTTCAGTACACTTTTTCAAATTAAAACTGGAAAATTTAGACAAGAGAAAGTTCAGAACATTACAGTTATGTTAAGCCAGCCTTGTGAATCTTACGAAAATTTTGAAAATCCAGAACTTGCAGTGAAAGAACCCAAGGTAATAGTTACAAGGGCAGATAAGGAGAAATGACTAACCACACCAGAAGAAACTAGCAAATGCAACGCATAATCGCAATGTACAAGAGATAGGAATTTATGTTTATAGTCTTGTCCAGATGCCAGAAGTCTGAACAAAATGAACAATCTAGAAACTGGAAATGCAAACTAAAATTTAAGGAAATGTGCGCACTTATTCAGCATGGGTGATACAGTTGTAATATGCTTGGAACAGAAGTCATGGAAGCTACCACAATTAACAGCATCAAAAGCAAGCATGACAGCATTAGAACAAGGTAAAAGTATCAGGCATTACAACACTGTAAAAGTACCAGGTATACACACAATGTCCAGCCTCTTATAACATTGGGTAGAGCCTGCATTCGAGAAGCCCTTTTTGGGATTCAAACCCAGGCCAGACAGAGGGCATGATTAAAAGCCGTCACATTTGCAGCATATAATGGGGGTTGGGTAGTGGAGGCCAGCACTTTGAAGCACAAAAACCAGAGCCAAGACACCAAGGAGTGACAGCTTCGCTTCAAACAAGTCAAAATTACTGAACTACTGTAGTTAGGTCCGGTCCGAAGTAGAGGGGGCCCTCCCGGGAAAAATAATGGAAAGAGTGTGAAGTATCTAGTGAATAAAGACAAATTTAAGTATTTTCAACAATACTTCAGAAGGAAAATAAATAAATAAAATTACGGCGTCTTCACATGCTATTTGTCGAGATAAGGGTCCGAGTGGCAACAAAACAGCCGAAACTTTTAGTGATTAGCAGATGTTTTGTAGAATTTATGGCAGAGAAAAAAACAAATTGCATCCCCTCCGAATTGCACCAGTCAGTTTTGCCAACCACTATCTGATCCAACGCAGTACATTAACAGATCCAAGCAAAGTCACCAGGTCTGCCACCTGTTAAATACTGCAGGTAATGAGGTTATGCAAGTTGCTCATTTTGATTTTGTATGCCATAACTTTTTAATGTTCAGATGCAAAATGTATCAGAGCTGGTAAGCCAAGTGTTAGGCAATTTGAAATTTTCTAGTTCATTTAAGATTTTGCAATATCTTTTCGGATATACTTAGTGGATTGAAATAACCAGAGATGTCCTGGAAAGTTTGACCAATGGGGGTACAAAAGCCATGTGCCTCGGTCAGTGAGAACAAGTTGCCAAGGCCAGGGCTTAAGTCCATGTTTATAGACAATGCAGTCTAGTGATAAAACCATTTCTGAGCAAGAAAATCTTTGCCTCTTAAAGATGTTAAATGCAATCCAACTGACTACACACAATTGGAGTTTGGAAGGAAGCTCAAGACGCCACGTGATGGCAGACAATGGGTTTAACATATGACAGCTTCACCATTAACATGACAGATTGTGGTGTGTATGCAAGTGGAGAAGCTCAAGAATAGGCATAAAATTCATCAAAGGGCAATAACAATCATCCCTTCTAATGCAAAGAATTACAGAGATCTAAAGCAGAATAAATTATTGCCAATTACCTTTTCATAAAATTTACGAGCCATTTACCTTCATCAGACATTCAGTTTTCAGTGGAGCCAATTCAAAATGTTTAATTAAAATTCATTAACTAATCAAAGTTACACACCAAGTGTAGCTATAGAGTATATATTTAGAGCCTGGATTTAGGCACTTTCCTCTTATCAAGAATGAAAAAGAAAGCAAGAAAAAAAAAATATGGGCCAATAAAACCATTTCTTTACTAACCTTAACATGACCCAGAACATACAGTCCAGATTTCTTTAGATCATTTGTGAAGTCAATCAACGGACATGCTGATCTTGGGTTGTTCACCATGAGCAGCATCTGAGGGCGCCAAAACTTGACATGGTCCTTTCGAGAGTCCAACAGAAGCAAGTATTTTCGTACCTGAAAATACCCAACACAAATCAAATTCTGTCCAAGAATCATTTTACCTGCATTTAGAATAATTTTTAACAATGCAAATTTTGCTCTTTACAAAGTGTAATGTTAATGACAATTGGGTTTCCACGAATGAAGTTTAGGAAAAAGGGGAACATCAAAGGAACATCAAAAAGTTATCAAAGATGAAACTTCTTTGCAGACTAAGAACTATCCTCCCCTACCCTCTACAGCTTGTCTATTTCTCAACATTATTTTCCCTTAATCCACTTGTTGCTTAACTGGGTACCAAATTAGTGCTCGGATAACACTGGTGCACAACTAAGAATCGGTGTTTAAGTGTCCCTCCTTGCTCAAGACTAACAAGAAGAGCCATACTTGCTCTTTTAATATGCAGGAACGAGTGCTATCCACTACACAGAAGACGACGGCACGTCTGACAGTAACAGTAGGGCAACAATCAGTGCACAATATGTCTTACCTGATGGAATATTAAAGCCTGGGATATTGACCCCCACTGGTGGTGCTCTGAGGGGGACTGCAGATGAAGAATGATTACCAACACCAGCAGCACAATGATGCAGATTCCAGCTACTGATGGACTAATTACAAACATCATTGCCCCATTTCCAATCATTCCAAGCAATGTTGTCCACCAAGAGAAGTACCGGAAAGTTGGCCTACAATACAAGTAGAGTAGTTTATTTCATCATATAGTTTACAAATCCTATACATTTTAAATTATTAAGTTATATATATTAGTTAAAAACATTTGTTATAATACTATCAAAATTAAATTTTTTTACTGTACTGTATATAAAAATGTTACTGTCCAGTACTACACATTATGAATTACGCAGTATAAATGTTTACAGATGAACACACATATAAACTTAGCTATGAACTATGAATCCAATACAACATAAATATTTAAGACATACTAACCTAAAATTAGGAGCACTAGCCCACTCCAACCCAAGACAAGCCAAGTTGGTTGCCAAGTACGAGAGAAGGAAAAAAATAGAAGTAAATTTTGCAATTGTGTTTAGTCCGCCAATGAGCAGGACACCTTCCACGAGAATGGCCGATGTAACAACAGCACCCACTGGGTTATTTCCCCACGACATTAATCCAATGTAACGTGTCATTTTCCCTGAAAAAAAAATTTGTCTCAATAACTATTTAAAAATACAATGCCATCAACGGGTTACCAATGCATATAAAGCAATGAAGAAATTAATTATTCAATAGTGTATGGACAACCACAACATAGCCAATTATTAATAATTTCAACTAGGTGGTCAGATTACATATTAAAAATGGTACAGTATCTCTAGTGTGACATTTCAACACTGGAGTTCGGTGATGGTGGTGGTAGCAGTGGGGATGGAATAAATGGTTTGACCCAATAGTTTAATCAAAATTTTAATCACCAACCATAGTATGATGGTTATAAAAATCACAAGGTTTTGTAAAGGCTTTCATTAACATACAACATGAATTTATATTACCAACCATAAATATTGTCCTTTGCTAGTGCCGCCAAAACTCTTGAAGATCCAATGATGTTGCTCAAACTGGCACTTAGTGTGGCTGTCACAATCCCTGAAAAACAAGATGTATTGAGGACAAGACTCGGTGCTATCAACTCTTAATATCATACCTAGAGTTGTGTCAAGAATTATATTTACCATTTATTTTCAGGGACAAAAATAATACTAGGGTAAGGGAAATGAGAAAAAAATGTTCCTCGTAACTATAGGCTATGCATATTACAATACTATTATAAACCAAGGCTATTTAGTTGAAGCAAGTCTATATTCTATATTTAATGTTATAAAATTTTGACATGTGTAAATCTTGCCAATCTAATCTCAAGCCAAAAATTCATGGTCACAACTGTAATGAACGGTGTAACTTGCTACAAATAAACCTTCTTAGTGAAAACCAACTGATGTGTTTGTGGCTTTGGCAAAAATAACCAGCTTTGAATATAATTCAAGCCTTTTTGGTAGTATCTCGGTTGCTCCCAAAAGCAAGTAATTATCTAAAGAAGGCACTAAGCCGGGAAGACTATGTAGCAGTGGCTTCCTGAAGCCCTCTTGCCAAAGTAGATCCTCACTATAGTGACAGCTTCAGGAATCCTGGGGACCAGACCCTGGACCCCTGCATAGAGAAACAGGGAGCAGAGGATTGTCACCATCACCTTCTCCAGGAACACATGAAAGTAAAGCAATACAGAGAACTAAAAGGTTCAGAGAAAGTAAATCACTGAAATGGTAAAACCAACTTGGGGAAACAATTCACTTTGAAGCTAGGTTGAACTCCCCTCCCTAGTTACAGTTTGCTACCAATAGGTGACAGCACCATTGGGAGATCCTAGCCTCCACATAACTTCAGTGCAAAGCTGAATGACCACAAACAAGGACCTGGAAGGGGTAGAGGGGGATGGGGAGGAGGGAATTGGAGCCCTATTTTAATAGAGGCATTTCATTACATTAAACATGGTTTTACAAGGAGACCTAACAGTGGCTCTCTGAAGCTAATTAAAAGATAGATGGTAAACATGAGTTATCAGGGGAGGAGGAGAAGCAAAAACTACACTCATAAAGACGAGATGTTAGGACAGGAAACCCAGCAATCAGGATGACAAGCTCAGCAAGGAGCAGCAGACACACTGACTAGGTAATGAGCCACCAGGGCCCTGTTGGACCAAAACCTGAGCTAAAACTTCAGCCCACAAGTTTGAAAACTGATCAGACAAAGTTACAGTCTACCTTATGGCTCATAATGTTTGCAAGCTAGTTGGACTATGGATATTGAAAAAGCAGGATAAACAAGTTTTTCCAACAGGGAACCAAGGAAACCGAGTCAACAAAGAACACATCCACCGAAGCAGAACGGGTGTTATCAAGTAGCGACAAATTGCCCCAGCCATGCAACAGACGATTCAATCTTTGCTACATAAGCCAAGCAGAGAAAAAATAATTCAATTATCTAATACTTCATCAGAAAAGGCGGCGGCTTCAAACACCAGGACTGAAGGCACACAATCCCCACTTCAAGAAGAAAGCATCAAGCATCCCTATGTGACAATCGGCACAGTCTAAATGGCTAAAGAGCATGTTGCTTAGAGAAGTTTAAAATGGCAAAGGGCCTGCAACATTCCTGCAAATACGTGCACCATGCTGAGCACCAAAAGGAGTGGCCTTGACCAGTGATCCTGGATGGCTTGGAAAGCATTAGTAACAATCTCTAACCCAGTGCCGAGACATCCATGAACATGTTGAGCAATGGGAATGTAAGGTGCCAAGGAACTGAATCCCAAGAAGCCTGAAATGGAAGCTGGTGACAAGAGCCAATGGTTCGGATTTATGACAATCCCTGCAGTGTCTGAGATTGTTAATAAACATTTCATGTTTCATTACCATTTCCCTGGACTGGTGCTGCCTCATCCTACAAAAGGTTGAAATGGCATAATAACATGTTCATATATTGTTAGTTTCTTTTAATTACTAGTTCAATTCCTCTGCTTAATACAGTTTAAGTATACTGCATGGATGCAGTATATCATCAATCCCACAAACACCAACAATACACAAAGCTAGCAAACTGATTATCCACCCAACTTAAGTCATTTTGTTGCATTCCATTTGTCAATTGCTTACAAATTTGAGCATTTTAACTTACCAATGGTAACGAAAGGTTTCCATATGTTAATGCCCATCATATATATGTAGTTGTTACAGAGTAAAAATCTCTCGCATGTAGCAGCAGTCAAAACAAAGACCAAGAGATACGTCAAGTAGGTGAAGAAAGTTGCCATGAGTGTACCCAACGGGATACTTCGTCCTGGCTTTTTTAGCTCGCCTGTGGAAAAAAAAATTTATGGCAAATAAAAACAAAAACCTAATACAAATCAGTTTTTTTTATAAATATACTGCATGCAGGTAGAATAGTTTACAAATTAGATTTTTTCCACCAGAATAATTCTGCTAACAGACTAATTTATGCAAGACAATCTGCAGTACAAGACCAATATATTTCAATTACTTTTTTATATCATTAAAAAATAACTTTGCCAACATTTTCTCCATGTACAAGTTTTGCATTATTCTCGTTAATGGTGGACATTACATCAATGTGTAGCTACCAAGTTGGAAACACTGCAGCTATTTGTTCAAGCCATCAAGTACCATATACAAAGCTTTACTACTACTACTACTACTCTGCATGTGTAAGACCAGCTAAATAAAATATCTCTTGCTGCTATAAGGTATACAAATGGTCATGGTAAAAGGAGAAATTTGGCTTGGGACCCCATCTGCTCTCAACAAAAGGCCAAGTGCCTCCTAAAGATGCCCATTTCCACAATTTCCATACAGTACCCTGCAAGGAAGTAGTTACATTCCCCTCTCACAAGTGCAGCCAATTATACCAACAGCATATAATTCTACATTGCTGAACAGTGTTATTCACAGAAATATCAATCTATAAATGTAACTAATATGCTAGGAAGCTTGAAAAGCAAGAAGCGATGGTAAGCCCCCTCCTGAATGAATTGCCTTATTTTTTGCTTTTGTCAAGCTATTTACCAACAACCCAACTATTTGTCACCGAAATGTGCCACAAAAATAACTAACCGAATTCACATTTCTTAATTTAGGAAGGGTATCTACATTTATGACAGGTTGACCTTCAATTTAAAAAATAATTACAAGATTTATTACCAAGAACCCTTACAAATAAAAAAAATTCTTATAACCTATACAGTTAGCATATGGTTCAACTATTTACCAGACATATTAGCTCCAGCCATAATCCCCGTTACACCACTGAACAACACTCCAAAGGTCAGGGCAAAGGTGACCACACTGCAGGTTTCATAGTTGTCCTCGCTGCATGTGGTGTAATCACGATATGGTTTCTTTGGAAGCCAAAGGTTGTCTCCAAATGTAACCGAGGAAAATCCTGTGTAGGTACCATTTAACTCATACGAGCTGTTCACAAGAGGATTGGCAGCTGGTATTTGTACCTTTAAGAATGAGAAATGTAACTGATCACTTAAGAATTTTTTTTACAGTACATACTAGTTTAAATTACAAAATCTAAGAATGTTCGCTCAATATTTTTAAACCTCAGGACTAGTACAAAGCCACGTGCCCCTCATTTTTCATTACAGCCGAGCCAAGAAGGTATCCTTTTTTCCCCCCAAGCCAAACACTCCAACATGAAATTTATTTAAAAATACAACCATTAAATATCCTCACTCTTTTACGAATGTAAATGCCCCCATTCACCTAGCAGTAAAAATGTGCCCAGAAGTTAGTCAGCTTCTTGTGGGGTTCCATCCTGGGGAGGCCCAGTAGTTTGACCTTGAGTAAATTGAACCCCAAATCAAATCTGCATCTCGAACTGCACATCAAATCCAGGGATATTTTGTAGTGCTGCACAAAATTTTAAATACATATCTGGTAAAAGGGGCACCCATACACTGTTGTAGGCTGATAGTAAGCATTATCTTGGAAATTAGGTTTTTAAAAACAGTACAATAGTATTTGGATCACCCACATGGAGTTTAACCATGAGCAGAGACTGTCCGGAAGTCTAAAATGGATAAATGTTTCAAATCACAAGAGAGCTCTGACAACTAACCAGACACATTCCTAACAAAGATCCCAGGGAACAGCAAAGCAATGGATATTCTATTTTCTTCCTCAAATGAAAAGTTAAATGGCCCTGCATCTGTTTTTGTAACTATTCAGCATTCACCCCATAACTAACTGCTAACCCCCAATTCTTGCTACGTCTAGATGGAAGCATTGTACACTACAGTATTAATAGTGAGTAAAGAGCTATGATTTGACGTACAGCAATTTAATAGCATTCCATTTTCCGATGAATGGATCTCGATACAGTATGCAGAAAACCATTAACATTTTGTTATTTGATATAAGTGACCACTGCTGCCACATTGTGCTCATATAGGGAATGCAGCCCAGACAAAGAGGGATTAAAGTATGGACAAATTTAACGTGTCCAAAACTAAATGTTTTTAGAGAACCATACCAGCTCTTCCCTACTTTAACTACACAAAACCAAATGCTACATTTTGTATTGCTTTAATACTGTAACTTGGAACTATCCTACCTAAATCCAATCATAATTCTACATGAAATTATAATTAAATATAATTTACAATACTCCCTAATCAAATTTTCTATACTTAAATTAGAGAATATTATCCATTATACATCTTAGTTTTTGATCACCTTTACCTAATACTAGGTGTAAAATAATTATTATTTTGATTCAACTTTATACGCGTTCAGCTGCATACCACAAACGTTCCAGATGGTTAGAAAGACAGGTTTCAAGAGAATAGCTCAATTTTGCAAGCACATAGCAAATAATGAAGTCAAATTCCCCATAATTGTGTTCAATTATTAAAAATGCACAAAACAAAACTGAGTAATGAATCAACTCACTTCAATTTCAAAATTATTTATGGGGAAACTGAGAATGACTGACAGAAGGCAGAAGATGACAACAGCGAGGATTACAACTGTTAATTTTGCAAACAGTCCAGCACCAATGAGGCAGACCATCATATTGAAGACATTCACAGCCGAACCATAGCCAAAGCTGTACCATCTTCCCTCTGGTAAAACTTGTGCAATTCTACCTGAGAAGTAACAAAAAAGGAATAGTCTAGTTACTCTTAAGTTAACAAAATTTTAAGTACAATTCATTTAAAACTTGAAGATGTTATTTAAACTACAAATGAAGTGTAAGATAATTATCAGGAGAAATCATGAAGCCAGTCTGATGACAGTACATATAGCACAAATGCCACATGGAAATTTGGAAGAGGAAGGGAGAGCAGTGCCTCTACATGGAGCCTTATATAGAGGCAGAGTTTACAACCGTCATCTTAACTTAGGACAAGGTACTGTATGTCCGGTTTACAGGGAGCTGGATGCTCGAGGGGAACAATAATGCAGGAATGTAATTGAATATAGATTGAAATAAAAAGATGTGCAGACAGTCACGAGATTTAAATGTGGATTTTAGAACGTAGCACAGGTGAAAAAGGGGGTAAAAGAACACTAGTATGAAGACTAGTCATGCATCAGTTGCCTGCAGCAACTGAGACACCGGCGAGTCAACCTCCTCGCCACAAGGTCGCTCTCATCCAGTAACTATGCTTGGGTAGTTACACACTGAACTTTGGCGTTAAAAATAATTTGTGTAAACTAAGGATTGATAGTATTCAAAAATAATTTTTGAATGGTGAAAAAATGTATTGCATTATTTATTTTACTACTATACAGTACTACCAAATAAATAAATGTTGCCAGCAGAGCAGAAAGTTTGCAGCAAAGTTTAAACATTTATACTGAATACTACAGCCATTTGCCATGCCAAGTTTTTTTTGTTTTTAAACGCAAATGATTGCTCTATCATTTGATAAAATTAAAAATGTATTGCATTATAATTTTGATCCAACATCTATCAGTTTCACACCTAAAGTGAAGAGTGTAGTTAGATGATGCATATTGCATATAAAAATTCAAATGTTAAGTGTCTTTGTATGATAATGTTAAATTAGCAACTTCTGTATGAAGCATATATGGGAGAGGCAGATATCAAAATATGAAAAATTAAATGACTGCCATTTTATAGGCCTAAAAATTGGACATTTTTTTTTAAACATCCTCCAAAGCTAGGAAGAAAACTAGCTCTCAAGCTGCAAGTGTTGGCTTGAGATCGCATCTCTCTCACACACACACACTATAATCACAATCTAAAACATTCTATATTTAAATTGGAAATCAAACTCAACACTTACCACTCTCACCAAAGTTGTCGACCAAGCCCTCTACACAACCAGTCGTGTAAAGAGCACTGCTAAATATGTTGGCAAAGAAGAAGAGTGCACCAATGGCTCCCCCAAACTCTGGTCCTAGAGTCCTGCTAATCATATCTATGGTGTATTAAGGAAATATCTTTGCCAATGTTTACTGGGAGAATCACATTGTTGAACACGGTACAGGTGTACGCGTGTTTTTTCACCAATGTTAACAAGATTGTGATAAAATGCTTTGCATTATAAATTTTCCTCCAAACATTTATCCTTTTCACACCATAAGTGGCTTTATTAAAAACACATTTTATATAACTTTTCAATCACTGTTGGCAGAAAAACAAGAAAGCAACAAGAAATTAATGTAAATATCACAAGAGAATCTGAATAAAAGACAATTGTGTTTTTCTTAGTTTTTAAAAGCCATTTCATATTCATATCCAAAATGAAATTTCACTTATGACCCCACTGACTAGGCTAAACAAGGATCAGCAGCAGCAGTTGCTCCTTGATGTGGGGGGGGGGGGACCCATTATCCATTAAGTATCCAGGACAAAGTGAAAATTTCAAATGGTAAGAAAGAATGTAGCCATGGATGTGACACATATTGCACAAAACAAATAACAGAAAATGATCGTGCCAATAGATGAAATTATTCCAGTAGGCACAATACTACAGAAAAAGCTGCAAATCATTTTTATCACATTTTGAGCAGAAAGAAAATGCTGCGGATGAATTGTGCAAGCATAGAAAGCTTAAATATGGCAAATGGGCAGAGGAAAATTTTACAACATAATCCAGAGCTCCATATAATTCTCATCACATTATATCTCGAACTAGAAAAGTACACGGCAGTGAGAAAAGAGGAAGAAACCGGAAAAGGGATAGAAGACATACAAAACGGATCAAGGCCTTTCCTATAAATTTTGTAAAAAGCATGCTGCATGTAAAGGACAAAATCCATAGATTGAAAATGGGCAGCTGATTCAGAGAATTAAAAGGAAATGTGTGAAACACTAAATGAACAGTTCCAAAGTGAATGAGCAGGCAAGTAAAGAGAGCACTCACTTTGAGAGCGAGCGAGCGAGCGTGCTAGTAAACTTCATGTTGCACACATGAACAAAATGAGGTGTGCGTGTGTGTGTGTGTGTGCACAAACATATAAATTTAAATCCTGCCAACGTATATCCATGGCTTCAAAACCATTTACATTATGTCTAGCATATAAATTTATATATAAATAACTGGACAAATTTTTATGCAAATGCTTAAAAAACCAAGAATACCAATCATAATATATAGTATACTGTACATTTATACAGTACATGTTATAAAATACATATACAATACATAATACCATGTAGTTTAAGAACCCAAGTATAAAGGGATACAGTATGCTCCGCCTCCTTCAACAGCACCGTTGGTAGATATGGCACATATTGATAGGATAGTAAAAAGCAGTATCAAGTATGCAAGTGTCAGCGAGCCACATGATGCCAGGAGACCCAAGTTCCCTACGATGAATCCTATTAAAACAAACCAAATGTTGCATTAATCGTGTATACACAAATTCATAATGGTTAACTTCATACATAGCATTAAATTGCTCTCAAATCAGGAAAACTTTCAATTTTGTACACATTCTATAGTTATAACAGCACACAGTTTAAATTAGGCATTGTATTACATATCAAAACCATTGAGGAAGAACATGTATACAATAATTGTCATTTTGAAACTCACAAGACTGAAAAGTATCAGTCCAGAGAAAGTGAAAATAAATGTTATAGATATTTAAAAAAAAATAAAGCTATACCAATCTACCAATATTAGTATATTTTTTGTAGTATTTTGCCATATTTTATAGGTAGAACTTATTGAAACCAGGTATTTTTAACATACTTTATGCACTTAAAATCCAAATTTTGAGATGTTTAGGTTTCAGGCCTATGGTTCCTCGGCCTCCCTACCATGAAACAAACCATGAAATGCTGTATTGCTCCAAAACAAAAAGAAGGTTCCTAAAGGCAACTGGATAGGTTCTTTAATTAAGGAAATGCTTGATCAGCTCGGTTGTAATGAACATGTGGGCTTTATGGTTCAAAGCAACAGCCTTTCAGATTAGGTCTGAAGGGAAGCCTGGGTCTAGGCCAAGTTTGGAAAGCATAACTCAAAACATGCTACAGCTAAACAGGTAAATCATTTATAGCCCCCTGTACAAAGTTTATACTGTCCTCTAAATGCATGGGAGGCTTTGCTAGCAGATTTTATTGTTGTGGCACTTATTAATGCATCAATAAAGGGTAACCTTTGATAACGGCTTTCAAAACACAGTGTAACCTTACTTTGATGAATCTAGTTTCAATACACACTTTTGCGGGAAAAGTCAATCAGGATTCGTTCATTTACACCTGGACCTTGTCTGGAGTGACTTTTGGGAGTGTTACTCCTTACCTGGCCTGGGGTTAGGCTTGACTTTAGGTAACTTGGTCCAACAGGCTGTTGCAAGGAGCACACACTATCCACTTTGTGTTCCTTAATTGTGCTTATGACACCTACTCTTCAGTGGTTCTAGTCTGCAATAGTGAGTGTTCTGTGTTCCTTCCTATACCCTTCATTCAAATTCACTCTTCACCAATCTTTACTCATATCATTTTGGTATGCTTTCTTTGATACAGTATTGTAGTTAATTGACTTTAGCACACTACATCCATGGTATTTTTATTCCTTTATTATCCACATAAGTGCTATCATCTGCTGCTTTAACCAATAGCTTTAATGTCCAAATACATTGGAAACGTCCATTCCTCCAAGAGGGGGGGGAGGAAGAGAAGAGTTGCAGTTTTGACAGAAATAGTGCATGAAACTTTATTTTTTATTATTGCTAGTGGAATGGATATAAATATACCAATAAAAACTTAAAAGAAAGCCCATAGGATGTAAGAGCAAAACCAAATTTTATACCAGTAAACAAAGAATATTCTTAATAAGACGGCATGGAAAAAGTATCGACAGTTATACTATATTAAATCTAGAAGTGTGCAGAACAAGATGGATGACTTTTGTGTGCACCAAAATATTAGACAATAGTACTAGCCAGAACATAGTACTACTGTATGTCAATTCACCAAACTGGATAATAAAAGTAGCACAAATACAGTGTAATACTTACCGGCACGAAGGAAAAGCAGCGCACTGAACTGTGAAAGGCAGACAGGAGCAAATACTCCTTCAAAGGTGCCAAGTGTACGATGCGTGTCATTATTCTCTTCCAAGCTATTATTGGAAATGTCCCTTCCACTTAAGCTTCTAAACAGTTTGCGCTGTGTTAACAAGGGAGCACGCTCCTAAAAACAAAAGAGCGGAGTCCAGCATATATAAATTAAATACAGAATTCATAACAGGTATCCAACATGTATTTTACAGTAACAGTGTTCAGAAATTCTGATAGAAAACCATAATTTGTACATAGCCACTGTCAGCTAAGAAAAAACAAAATGGTTACTCAATCACCCCTACTTTGTAGGTACAGTACTTTACTGTACAAACCTAAAATTATATTTACACAGTGCAAGCATTAGTAATATATAAAGAAAATAGGCATAGGCAAATGTCATTTAACAGTGTTTGGTTCCTGAAAATCAACCAACTGAAGAGTTAAAGTAAAGTGAAACCATAAACTTCATTGGGTCTAGTGTTACAAGTAAAGGTTTCATCCCTAGGGTACAGGAAAAGGGACACTTCACTTTTCGCTCACTCGCTTTTGTTAGCTTAGAAACAAATGCTATCTTCTGTTTGTTTATCTCTTCATTAATTCATTGTGTCAGGGAACAGGCAGCCAGTTTATACATACTGTACTGTACATGGTAGGCTTATATCGAGGTCCCCTCCCTAGAATCGAATTATTGACCCCCCTTCCCAGGATGCAACTCCACAACAAGCTGTCTAACTCCTAGGTATCTATTTACTGCTGGGGGAACAGGAGCATTAGAGATAGGAAACATGCCCAACCATTTCTGTCCCACACAGGATTCGAACCTGTGATCATTACATCGCAAATCACGATGTGATAGTAGAACACCATCATCCACACTTGCAATAAAGAAAAAAAAAACAGTTTTGATAACCAGAAAGGCCAGATATATATGGATCAAGTGGCCAAAGACATACCAATTATGATTCCTTACCAATTTTACATTATTATTTTAATTGCAATATTGTAGACATTGTCTTAAACACAATGCTCTTTTCCTCTATGCTAGCAGTGTTACCTTATTACTCTAGGATTTTCCCCATTGGTTCCCACTGGGGCAGGTAAACTCATCTAGGCCATCTATTTACCTTCAAGATATATCCCACAAACACTTGCCCAACTCCTGGTTATCCATTTACAGTATGGCTAAGTAAACCGAGGTACTATTAGGTGCAAAGAAACAATGTCCAAATGTCTTGTCTGCACCTGGTATTTAACCCAACACCATGACTAGGCCTAGTCTGCCTACATAAAGAAGAGGCATCTTAACACAGGCAAAAATATTACAATGAAAGCATGATGAAGGCTTTGGGATGAAAGCATAAACAAAGGAAGTTATGTAATTATAATTTTTTGAGAGATAAGGGAACTGGTTAAAACTTCCCTTCATTGCCATGTACAATTGTTTACATTCACTTAGTTTTCCAACTAATCTATATTGCTATCACATACTGGATGGCACAGTGTAAATTGGCATAAACTGATAACAGACTAATTTACTTTAAATTTAGTAACCAATTTTTATACCAACACATGATTATGTAAAGCTTATCTAAAGCTATTTATAAACCAGGATTGACCAGGATTTTGTCAAACCTAGGATTGACAAAAAAAAAAAAAAAAAAAAAAAAAAAAAAAAAAAAAAAAAACAGGATGTATCACTTTCAACACCAGATTCTACGAGTATTGCACTTGTACTTGCCGTCTACCATCATAAGCATTAGACCTATTCAAATGGTACAATGGCTTCATAAAAGCCATCCTCCTTTCAGCCCCTCATCCTGGTTTTTATCCATCTTAGAATATTGACAATGCCTTGTACCCATTAACTACAGAAATTACTGAAGTTGAAATATTTCAAAATATAAGATACAGTACTCTATAATGTCCTTTGTGTACACTATCAGTACAATACATGTCAGATTTCATGGCAGTTCACAAACATTAAAATTGTCCTAAACAAAAATATTAATACAACTAGATCAACACATCTTTGTTACAATAGAATCCCCTCAAACAAAGAATTTTATATTGTTTAAGAAATTAATCAAACTACTGTACTACTACTACTAGTTGCACCATTCATAACATCTCTCCTGTTTATCCAACTTTTCTTTTTTACATCTAATAGTACAAACTACATTTGGTTAACATAAATAGGCAGAAATTGGGGCCTTGGCAAAGGTGAAAAAAGGGTACTCTTGCTACTATGTCAAGGATAAACAAAAATACATCATTTCAGTGCATAATGCCTTCGTGAAGCGAGTCGATTGTCTTATTAAAAAACAAAGGGTATTTCCATTGGTCACCCCGAGGGGTGCCCCCTGGTCCCACAACATGGCACTGTTTGGCTCATTAAGGCACCAATTAGCGTGGGATGTAGAACGTGAACTTTAGGAAGCCAAGTGACTCACTCACCTTTTTACTCACGCCCACCACTGCCTCTGGGTCGCCCACTCCCCCAAACTCAGCGTTCGTGCTGTTGATCGACACGTTCCCAGCGGCCATTGTGCCGACTCCTCCACTAAACTAAGTCTCTCACAGGACCCACCACCACGTCAAATATTATCGGGGTTAGTGTCGAGATGAGAGAAACGAGTGAGAAAGTGCCGCGGCGGCCACCAGCACAAACTGACTCGCCGCTCCAGACTCGACTTGATGACAACACAGACCTGAGCCACACACTATTGCCAACTTCCGCCGGAAAAAAAACATTCAACACAACCTCTGAATCTTTTATCTGTTATATCAACTACAACAGCGATACATGTTACATGTACATTATAAATGTATCTAATTAAAATGTATTTTCATTTGGTTATGGTTTAATGTTATTCTTTTAAATGTTTTATTATTAATTACGGTTATAGGGACAGGATGAGTCTGGTAATACTTCTTGAATGGACTACCGAAGTAGGTGTTCCTCTGTTTAATGCTATTTTTCATAATGTTTTGTACAATTTTCATCACGTTAATGTAAAAACTATCAAGACATTAATACTTCAAATATTACATAATATTTTTATCCTGTATAATAATTAATTATAACTATACATAATTAAGAAAAAATGAGATTCACTTAAATGGTAACCAAAAAATAATATTGAAAGAGTTGTTAATTTGGAACGGTAACACTTCTCACTGGGAAGAAAGATTATTAAATGATGCAAGATGATGGGACTCAGTCATATTCATTGAACGAGAACAATCACAGTATAAATAAATCTTTCATTAGACTGATTGACGATTGATAAACTCTTGCCTTTTTGATAGGACCCTCTCCGTGAAAACTATATCGTACGATATCAGCTTATCAAGCAGCCGCTGCTTGTATGGTACTCAGATCCAAGGTGTAAGACAGCCAATTATACACTTAAGATCAATGTTATCTTGTTCTGTAACGCTGAGCGCATGTCCTTGTTTGTTGTATTTAGCCCTAACACAATTGTAGGGTACATCCTTTAATAATACCTTTACATGTTTATTTATCTCGATTTACATGAGGGGCATCATCTATCTACATCACTGGTTCCCAAACTGGGGGCGAATGGCCCCCTAAGGGGGGGGGAGTCTTTTTGCAATATGTATGGGCCATAAGTTGAGGAAAGTGAGCAGGTTATGCTGTAGGGCTGAAGCATACCTGGAGAAGGTTTCGGGAGGTCTACTCTCCGAGCCCGGCCTGAGGCCAAGCTCGACATGTCAGAGGATACCAGACGGGGTCCTTTACTAAGTGCAGGAGGCCATTATTAAGGACGTTATATGAGAAAGGGGTATTGACCGGAAAGAGTTTGGGAACCACCGATCTGTATAAGGGGGTCTCGGAGGAGACAGGAGGCCGCCGGCTTGTCAAAAGTCCACCCATTGTTCAGAGATCTTTTTCCAATTGGATTTTGAATTGCAGCAAATGTTTCGCATTTACAGCTTCGGCGGGTAGGGAGTTCCATGGATTTATAAACGTATGGGTGAAAAAGCATCCCTTTCTTTTTCGTTCTACATTGGCTTATTTAGCCTAAAGCTGTTGCTTCTGGTATGTGATTTTTTTTTAATGGTCAAAGCTTCCTTTGACCTTTTACAGAAGTAGTCTGGATTAGTATCTTGCAAACTGTTCAAGTATTTTAAAGGTCTCAATGAGATCCGCTATGTCATTTCTGGTTGGCAGTTGCTGCACCTGTCACCCCCTTTGCGCGCGTGTGTGTGCTTATTTACTATTTACACCAACATGAGCTGTTAGCTCTTGGATCCGGCCTTTCTAACCGTCGGTTATCTAATGTGCTGACTCTCGACCTATTTTCCTCTATCATGTCTTCTACATATATTTCAAACACACACACACACACACACACACACACACACACACACACACACACACACACACACACACACACACACACATCCCAATGATGTATCCCGTAACAGCTGTCTAAGTACTAGGTATCTATGTGCTACCTACATCTCGCCTTAATCAAAGCGTCTTTGCTTACATCTCATAACGAATTTATGAGCTTCGAATCACTCCGAGGTTGTTTATAACAATAATAACTTTGGCTTGTGAAGTTTCCAACCTCGTAAAACTTTAATAAAAGTGAACAAAGCCTCCATAATTCAGGAAAGATGTGTAGGAATCTACAATGGCTGCGTGAATCCTACACTAGCAAACTCTGTGTTGAGCACAAGAATATCCTCAAATATTCGTGAGTGTATGAAGTAGTTACAGAGCTCAAAGTACCTCGTGCCATTTGGTCTGAAAGTCATTAATAACAGGGCAATCACAGATCTGGTGTTGGAGTGTATGTTCTAGCTCTGGTTTACATAGTTTATAGTTGGAATGTTCACCACTGTGGGATTCATTACCAACAACCAGCTGCCATAGATATCGATATCCCAGCCTGATTGCAATGTCACACTGTGTAGTAAATGTTTTGTGCAATCCGTACATATAGTTTTCGATTCTGAACATGTCATAGCTCTTTATACTCGTGTTCTCTGCCATTTGAGCGTCAGTGATTGCTCTGCTGTCATCCCAAATGTCCTGAAATAGCACGGTTTTTATAAGAGAGATTGACATACCTAAGTCTAGCTCAATTTCAGGTTTATAACATCCAACTTCAGCAGTCTTGTCCGTGCCATCATACTACGCAACACCTATGTGACATGGTATCCACACACAGAAGATTTTGAAACTCCTGATCTGCGAAGGAATTATGCTGTTTATAATGGATGTTATAACATTCCTTTGCTTGAAGAACTTGCTTTGACTCGCAGGAATTACTACGACTCATCCAGACATCTGTCTCTCCGGCTCATCTGCTTCCTCAGCTTCCGCCTGTGTGTTCTGGTCCGACAGTTTCTAATTCTGAACATTGCCTCTTTGTCTACCTTATCAATTCCTTTCAATGTCTTGCATGTTATTATCATTCCTGATTCTTCTTTTCCATAACGTGCTGATATATCATGTCGCATATCTCTCTATTTTTTTTTAGTGTGTGTGTGTGTGTTTGTGAGTGTGTGTGTGTGTTTGTGAGTATGTGTGTGTGTGCATGTGTGTGTGTGTGTGTGTGTGTGCACGTGCGTGTGTATCATGCGTACTATACACAAACATTTATGCATCATGGTTGCAGTTTACAAACTCCAATGAGTACCAAACTCACAGGAGTCCCGTTCGTGCCTCACATACTCACTGGAGTCACGTTCGTACCTCGCAAACTCACACAGCCGCTGAGTCTCAGTGTTCGTCTGAAACTCTGTGTTCGTCTCATCTTCGAGACGAACAAAGAATATTATATCGTTTTCATATTTTCGTTTAGTTCCTGTATTACGTACCCTATGGCCTTCCTGTCGTGGGTTAGTGAAAGGGTTACAGCATCACATGATGGGTTCAGGAGCTGAACTGAACCCCAAGAACAGAGCCCCAAGAGTTTGTTTAGCTAATCAACAGCACTAATGAGCTTTTCGCATAATTGTTGACATGTAAATAAACCAAGAGAGACATCCCAGTAGACATGTTTGAGATGTACATGATTTCAGCCGTGGCTTTTGTACAGTCAGCGTGGCCTAGAGGTAACAGTACTGGATACCCCAAGGGGCATGGAGCCCTGCCTGTCCGACGGGTTCGAATCCTTCAGGGGTAAAGAGTTTTCTGATGCATGTTTACTTGTGGGCCATTCAAGCTTGACGCACAAATGGTACTACCGTGACACCAACATGATGAAGTGGTTCGATGAAATATCTGTGCCCAAAATGGTTACCTAGAGCTGTTGGGAATTGGGTTAAGGGTCAGACGACTTCCAATACTTTTGTACAGTGTGGCCTAGTGGTAACGGTACTGGACACGCCAAGTACTGGCGTGTGGACATTGAACCCTGGCTGTCCGGGTTTAAATCCTTCAGGGGTAAAGAGTTTCCTGATCACTTACAATATATTTAATGTGATGTAACAGTTATATAAAGCCAGTAACACCTATATAACAGCTAATTAAGAGTAGTAACAAATGCATAACAGAAGTTACAAGTATATAAATGTAGCTGTAAAAACAGCATTCAAAAGTACACCAGAGTATCGCAAAACAAAAGTAGCCGCCTCATAAAAGCATTCACACCTACAAAGCAGCATTAACCGCTACATAAAAGCATAAATAGCTGAAATACAGCAGCAACCAATGTGTAACAGCATAAACCGCTGCAGAACAGCACGAACCGCTATAAAGAAACATGCGTCATCTCTAGTCACATATGTACGTGGGGGACTAACACAAGTGTACGGTACATTCTAGAGCTCCAGACTCGCGCAGGTGTACGGTACAAGTTCGTCTAGACTCTCGCATGTATATTGTACACGCTCGCTTGACCGAGATTGTTGTTCTCATTACTATTGTCCTCATAGTTATGTTGTTGTTCCTTTTAGGCATCTGGAGCCAATATTTACACTGTTGCCAACTGGATGAGGGTATGAGTGACATTGTACTGGGTACTAATGAGGTAACTAGGCTAGGCTAACTTCTATGTACACACATAGAAATCGAACACCTTCGATGTGGAGTACAGCTATCACAACACAGAACATCCCAACATTTGCCTCGTGTGAAGTGAGGTTCCCCACCACCAAACTCCTATACAGTAAGCAGCAAAGTATCCCATTTCCTTGTGTATCACATTTAGTCCAATTTTATTATACTTGATTCACTTAATTGGTATATTTTGTTAATTTTATGAGTTGACGGAACCTCGATTCTGTACCGTGATCCAGTCTCTCCACCTCTCAGGAAGCAAATCAATTTCCTACTGCTACTGATACTGTCAGTTGCCTGACTCATGAGCTCTGTGGAAGGGACAGACGGGACCAAATAGAGTGTAATTACCTAAAAGTGATTACCGAAGTGTAGTTACAGGATGAGAGCTATATGCGATTGGTGTCCCGTCTTCCCAACACTCTTTGTCATATAACGCTTTGAAACTACTGACGGTTTGTGTGTGTGTGTGTACTCACCTATTTGTGCTTGCGGGGGGTTGAGCTCTGGCTCTTTGGTCAAAGAGTGTGTGTGTGTGTGTGTGTGTGTGTGTGTGTGTGTGTGTGTGTGTGTAATTACCTAAGTGTAATTACCTAAGTGTAGTTACAGGATGAGAGCTACGCTCGTGGTGTTCCGTCTTCCCAGCACTCTTTGTCATATAACGCTTTGAAACTACTGAC